AAGCTCGAATCGCAACGCGACTCAGAGACTGGACCCAAAATGGTTAAACTACAACATGCCTAAGGGCACGGCATAAATGCCACTATCAACCAGTCGAGTGAGCCTCTAGGCCACACGCTTGTAAGGTCACTTCGTTCCGAAGCACAAAAGGCCATCGCCATCCGCCCATGCAGGCAAGAAAGAACTTGAGGGTCAATTGAAGCTCAAATCGCTGCGTGACTCGGAGACTGGACCTGAAATGGCTAAACTACAATATGCCTAAGGGCACGGCATAAATGACACCATCGCCAGCTCAGATAAAAGCAAAACTCAAGGGTAAATTAAGCTCGAGTTGGGCCCTAACTCAGAGACTGAACCCTAAGACGGTTAAAACATGCAAGCCTAAGGACAAATCCGGGATCAAATCGACCTAATTTGAAACTCCAACGAGCAGAAATACAGAAAATACAAGTTGCGGGGTTTCCCCTCTTATTGCTACATATTGACGACGAAGCGCAACCTCAGCCTGTGTCGTATAATAAAAGCTATATATATACATAACAAAGAAGACAAGGAATGATCATTCTGCTTTTTTCCGGCAGTTATAACCCGGCGGTCTCCTCCCTTTCGTCCTCAGCATCTTAACAGTAAGAACTTGGCATCATACTCCTCTCATTTGGCTTGTTCGATCTCCCCCGAGAGATCAAAGCCCCTGGCGTGAATCTCCTCAAGGATTTCCCTCCGGGATCTGCACCTCACGTACTCATCATATACTTTAGTATTGGCCATAAAGAGCCTTGTTTGATTATATCTTCGACTGTTATCCCATCCCCGATTATCCCCGATAGGTCGAGCTCGACCTCGATGTCGACCCCGATGTCCTTAATCGGTCAGGCCTATACACGGGCAGCAGGCCCCACAGTTCGATTACTATCTCGTTTTAGCTTGTTTTTAGTCATTAGATTCCATATTGTTAGCATCAACTGCTCTAACAACTATCTCGGGAATAGATCACGTATTTTTAGAATCCCCTTTACAAATTTAATTATTGTTACCATTTTCACGGTAAACAATCAGCTTGGTAATGCCCTGGAGTTTCTTCCCAAGCCCTTTGCCATGTTCATACCCAGACCATGCTAGTATGCTTTCTATTTTGTTACTCTACCATTTGTCTTTCTCAACTGAATTGACATGTTCAATGTGGTGATAAGTTTCCCGTCCTAACCTTCTTCTATTCTCAATAACCGGGATTGTTTGACTGGTGTAAATGGGGTTACTTCCATCTCCGTGAATGATCACCTCATGATGGTTCCCTTCGAACTTTACGGCCTGGTGTAGTGTGGGCACAGCCCCAGCGGCATGTATCCAAGGTCGACCCAACAGAAGATTGTATGTAGCTGATATGTCAAGCACTTGGAATTCAACATCGAACCAAGTTGGCCCCATCTGCAGACAAAGGTTAATCTCCCCATTCGTGGCCCTTTGAGACCCATCAAAGGCTTTTACGTTCATACTTCTTGCCCGTATCTCGTGGAAATATTTGCCCAATCTTTTCATAGTAGTGTAGACATGTAATTTTTGTCCCTCCCCAAAATTTTATATATTTTAGCATGTACATATTTAATTTAGGCCTAATATAGCTATTTCAACTCATTTTTACTCTTTTACTTTATTATTACAAGAAAACGAAAATTACAAAAAGATAGGTTCATTAATATTTTGTAGTCATTTTAAATCTTGAAAAATACCAAAAATAGTTTTGTTTTAACGGTCAGTCTTATTTTAATAGTTATTTTATTTAAGTAGGGCCAATTAATAAATGAGATCGTATTTTAATCTCGTTCGCGTGTAAAGAATAAACTTGGGTTCGAGCAACCTATTTTTAGGTCTAATTTTTTATCTAGCCCATAATTTTTAGGTCCATACCCCTAACCTAATCCTTACCTCTATGTAATAGTAACTGATGCTTAAATAGAGGGAGACCTAAAAAAAACCATTCTGCCGCTTTCCAAAAAAGCGGAGCCCGCCCGCTCTGTCATTGTCTTCTCCAAAGAGAGAAACGACCAAACCAAAAATCCCTACCAAAATGATGAAGCTTCAGCCACAGACCAAAATGAGACAAAAGTGAAACACCTAAGGCTAATTTCTTCAACAAATAGCAGCTAAGTCAGTAAATTCAGCCGCTAAAGTGATTCTCCGGCCAACTCAGCCGATTAAAATTCGTTTGAGGTGTAGTCCGTGTTTCCGATTCGGGTTCGTGGCTCCTGCTCGATTTCGTCGCCAACGTCGTTGTTGTTCGACTGTTCAATCAGTTGCACAAGCACGATACAAGGGAATAATCATGAGTATGTTGTACCTCTTGCTTTCATATATATGAAGAAAAAAAAATTCTAGATTTGCAGAGGAATTTGGTTTAGTTGTTTAATTTATAATTTTAAGATGTTTTTTGCTAACCACTGATTAAAACTTCTCGGTTGTTTCATCCACCGTTCAAGTCAATTTCACACTGTTGGAGTGTAGACGGAGTTAAGTTTTGCAGTTTGAGTTTAAATGTTTCGGTTTGTTTAGCGATACCTATTTTATTCTGCGGACTTGCCCTTTGAATATTTGTTTACTTGGTAGTCGATACTTGTATGGCTAGCATTTTTATGAGAGAAAATGATTAGACTCCTTTATGGATAAAAAAAAAGTATTTATTATGTCATATTTTGTTTATTTGGACTTGAGGATAAATTTGGAGAAAGTGTCAGTTTTATTGGCATTATTAGGATTTGAATTATTACCTTTTTATTTTGATGAAATGCTCTATTTTGTTTTTGGCATGCTATTTTATGATTGTCATTTCATTGAGTAGCACTTTACCGAGTTATTTTTGTAAGGGAGAGTCATCTTTGGGGAATAGATTAATATTCGTAGGAAAGTCTTTAGGCGCGATTACATAAATCATAATGACTATGAGTATGGTTCCCGTGATATAGTTATGATGACCCGATTATAACAACTTCGAATAATAAAACACTTTGAAATAAATTGAGGTGTGCCATGTTGAATAAAATCCCAAAACCCATGGCCCTAACTTAATTAATATTTTAACTCTTTTAAAATCGAGGTGTGCCATCAATTGAATTTTCCATGGCCCTCGCAAACCTGAAAGTGCGTAGTTGCTTTAGGCGTGCTATTTAAATTAATTTCCTTAAACTCGGGTGTGCATTTATGTGACCCAAATCCAAATCTCAACAACGTTAGACAAAATGTGTCGTAGACCGCGGGTGCATTTATGTAACGTGGTTCAAGACGTGTTTTAGATGACGTTGAATCTTTCCCAATAATTAAATAAAAGCGGTTATAAAGTTAAAAATGAACCGTAGGCTAAAACATGTATTAAAATCGGATAATAGGCCAATTATGATAGTTTAAGCGACCGTGCTAGAACCACGGAATCCGGGGGTGCCTAACTCCTTCCCTCGTGTTAACAGAATTCCTTACCTGGATTTTTGTGTTCGCGTACTGTAATACGGCGTCAATCTTTTCCTCGATTCGGGATTTGAACCGGTTTCTTGGGACACCATAAATTATCCCAAGTGACGACTCTGAATTTAATAAAAATAATCCCGTTTCGATTATCACTTTAAGTTATAAAAACTCCCTTATATACCCTTCCGGAGGTGTAGAAAAAAGGAGGTGTGACAAGTAGTCAACGGGCAAGTGTTGAGGCTTGAACCCCCATCTATTAAGACTCTGGTAATGAATTTGTCTTCAAATTGTAACGTGATATGCAATGCCCAGTTATGACTTAACCCTTCAGGTGGTAATTCATCCTTGTGGAAGGTGATTTTATGACTCTCCAACACTTTCCCTACCATGTTGGCCATTTCTCCGCAAGTGATATTGTTGGGCACATAAGCTTCATTTAACACCTTCATCAAAGCATTCTTATGCGCCTCTGAATTTTGCAATAGTGACAGGATGAATATCTGGGGAGGGGTCTTGTTTAAATGATCGACAACGGAGTATTCCCTCGTATGTACTTTCCTCCAAAGATCATCTGGTCCTGTTTCAATGACTGGTTGCTTGGTAGAAGCCTCCTTGCTCGATCCTCCCAAATATTTGGGTGTATAGATCATTCCCGTTCTGGTCATTCCTTGTGCGACATCAGACTCTTCCATCTTTGCTTTTCCTTTTCGCCTAGCTTCGGCAACATAATCCCAAGGTATGATGTTGGAGTTGAAAAGAGGTGTGGTTGCTACTGTCACTATGAAAGGTGTGGCCACTTCTACCTCAAATGGAATAAGTGTGGCTACAGGTGGAGCTACATTACCTCAAATGGAACCGATGTGGTTGCCTCAACCTCGATTGACGGTTGCGTCTGCACCACAATAGGAGTGAGTGTGTCTATAGGTTTAAAGTCATCGCCTTCCCGAATAAGCCTGATTGACCCCTTAGGATCCCATTCTTCATCCGTCTCTATCACATGTACCCCGTCACTCCTATGATCTGGGAGAGGGTTGTTGCGGATGTTAGGCGTAGTTTCCTTTGCCTGTATGACCTTGTTATCAATCAATGTCTAGATTTTATCTTTCAATGTTCGGCACTCGTCAATGGTGTAGACATATGATTTTTGACCCTCCCCAAGATTTTTATATTTTAGCATGTAAATATTTAATTTAGGCCTAATATAGCTATTTTAATTAATTTGACTCTTTTACTTTATTTTATTACAAGAAAATGAAAATTACAAAAAAAATAGTTTCATTAATATTTTTGTAGTCATTTTTAATCTTGAAAAATACCAAAAAAAAAAATAGTTTATTTTAACAGTCAGTCTTATGTTAACAATTATTTTACTTAAGTAGGACTAATTAATAAATGGAGTCGTATTTTAGTCTTGTTCGCGGAGAAAGAATAAAACTTGGGCTCGAGCAACTCATTTTTAGGCTAATTTTGAACCTAGCCCATAATTTTCAAGCCCATAATTCCTAGGCACATACTCCTAACCTAATCCCTACCCCTATATAATAGTACCTAATGCCTAAATAGTGACCTACACCTAAAAATCTTACCAATCCGCCGTTTTTCTGCAGATGGAGACTAACTTATACAAGAAATCGAAAATCTGAAGAAGAAAGGGCGGCTGAACAAAAAACGAACCCCCTGACTTCATCTTCCCCAGCCATCACTCCAAGCTATCAGCCGCAACCCCCACTTGAACCTAGCGGCAACCCAGCTGACCACACAAAGAATGAGAAACGGCCTTTCCCCTTGATTCTTGGATCCATCTTCTTTCTCAACTCACACATATAAACACATACACATTTAGATATCATGGAAGCATTATGCATTTTCTTTAATTCAAAGATCTAGAAAGTCAAGAACTCAAAAAATAGAAAATAAAAACACAAAAGGAAGGATCTTAAAGCTGGTTCAACTTCTACTTGTTTACACTAATTTTCCGGAACTACAAAGACTAATCGACCCGGAAAACAGAGAGAAAAACGCCCAAGCCTAGTCGAGTACGTCCGAGGTTGTTCGAATTCCGGCGAGCTTCGAAGTGGAGGTTCCGGAATCATGGTCTTGGTCAGCTTTTGGTTTTGAACAAACCGATTCAGATCCTTCTTGTTAAAGGTTATTTTTGCACTCTACTACTCTTCTTCGTTAAAACACTATGTTGATGTTTCTTTTTTTGAATGGTTTTAAGTTGAATAAAATGCCACATTCTTAATGGACATGTTATTGATTTTACTGTGGAAAGCTACATCTGCAATTGTTAACTATAAGATTTCTGCTTAGTACTTCAAATTTGCAGTCATGTACTATCGTATATATAAAAAAAAAATTGTTTATGTGGTTAATTGAATGAACTTGGAATGTAACATTTTTTTTTTGTTTTGAATGTTATTACATTGTTAAATATGTAACTTGATCTCATTTTGCTTGATAGATGACTATGACTTATTGGGTTCAGTCATATAAACAACATCATTATAATTTATGGCCCTCAAAAAATTAGTTCAAACATCCTTTAAAAAATAGACTTGAGGTGTGCCGTGCCAAATAAAATCTCAAAATGCATGGCCCTCACTTAAATTAATTTTAATCCTTAGAAATCGAGGCGTGCCATTTAGTTGAATTTTCCATGGCCCTCGCAAATGTGAAAGAGCGTAGTTGCTTTAGACGCGCTATTTAAAAATTACTTTCCTAAACTCGGGTGTGCATTTTATGTGACCCAAATCCAAATTTCAACAATGTTAGATAAAATGTGTCGTGGATCGGAGGTGCATTTATGTGACGTGGTTCAAGACGTGTTTTGGATGATGTTGAATCTTTCCTAAAAACAATAACTAAATAAAAGCGGTTATAAAGTTAAAATTAAACTATAGGTTAAAACATGTTTTAAAATTAGATAAATAGGCCAATAGTAACAGTTGAGCGACCGTGCTAGAACCACGGAACTCGGGAATACCTAACACCTTCTCCCGGGTTAACAGAATTCCTTACCCGGATTTCTGTGTTCGCAGACTGTAAAACAGAGTCAATCTTTCCTCGATTTGGGATTTAAACTGGTGACTTGGGACACCATAAATTATTCCAAGTGGCGACTCTAATTCTTAAATAAATAAATCTGTTTTGATTGTCACCTTAATTGGAAAAACTCTCTTATACTCTTCCGGGGGTGGTAAGAAGTAGGTGTGACAGCTCTGGTGACTCTGCTGGGGAACGAACCCAGAACTTCTTGTTCAGGGTTCAAGAATTCGAGCTTAAAATAATTGTTATAATTGGTTTTATTTATTATCTAATTTTGTTGCATGTTTGAGCCTAATGTGCTAAATGCCGCTTTTTACCGCTTTGATATTATTTGAATTGTATATAAACTGTTACGAAACTCTTCTCTTCTCATCTTCGGGGATGCGCACGCTGGCGTGACTTCTCCTTCTGTTAGTGTCATACCTTGAAATAAGAAAGAGCCTCGGACAAGTTACAAAGCCAGATGACCTTTTGGTTCCCGGTACGTAGCCCCCTCCTCGGCTCGAGTTGTCCGCTCGGGTACACAAGTCTAGAACAATATACCCAGGTTTTTAGCTTAGAATAACTCAGCCTCATACCGGATCCCTAGTAGGAACGTTTGTTTGTATCATGTGCATTTGTCTTTGGGACTCAACACAGGGGTTGGGTCCGTCTAGGACAGGTGCACCCAAATTAAAAGACCATACTGATGCATCTTACGTGCTACTTGTGTATCTGTCTATTTCGGCTTGCATGCTGACTAACTTCAAGAATAGGGAAAGAAAATGAAAAAAAAATGAAAATCAAAAAAAAAAAAGAGAAAAGAAAAGAGAGTGAGATGCAAGTATTTGAATTACCCTGAAATTCTGTTGAAATTTTGAAAAAAAGAAAAGAAAAGTCATTTCAAACTAAGTCATATTTTCTTTTGTTCCGTCAAAACTGGGTGAACTACGCGGGTCTGATTCTCACCGGATGTGAGATACGTAGGCAAACTTCAAAAATCCAAAAATATTTTCGTTTACTTCCTTCTTTAGAAAAGTTTTTATTTTAGACCCCAATTTTAAAAAAAAAATCCAAAAATATTTTTCTTTACTTCCTTATTTAGAAAAGTCTTTATTTTAGATCCCAATATTCAAAAATTCAAAAATATTTTCCTTTACTCCCTTCCTTAGAAAAGTCTTTCTTCGAACCCACAATTTTCAAAAAATCCAAAAATATTTTAATTTTTCTTAGAAGTTCACCTTTCGAAAATTGAAAAGAAAAATTCAAGATTCAAAAATAATTTCTTTTCTCTTTAGAAGTTTTTCCTTCATGATTCATAATAAAAGTCCAAAAATCCAAAAATATTTCCTTTGAAGTTTTTCTTTTGAAATTCCAAAAAAGTGTCGAAATTCAAAAAAAAAAAAATCTTCTTTAGAAGTTCTTCTTTTAAAAAAAACAAATAAATCTAAATAAAAAAAAATATTTTCTTTCTTCTTTATAAGTTTTTCTTTCGAAAGTTAAAAAAAAATCAAAAAAATTCAAAAAAAAGAGTTAGTTTATTTACTTTATTCTCAATCTTCCCGAACTATGCAAGATTTGATTCATGTTCCCACATGATACGTAGGCAACCCACATCAGGTTCGATCGAATGATTTTGAAAAAAAAAAGGAAAGGAAAGAAACAAAAAAAAGAGAAAGAAAGAGAGTGTTTATTCTAACATGCTTGTTATTTTGGAATAAAAGGTAGTCAAGGGTGGTCGGTTTGTTGATTTGCAATGGCAAAAACAATCCAAGATCTCTCGGAAATAAATGCATCTTTTCAACTAATGGAACAAGCATCATTGTTGTTGATCCAAGGTCACAAAAAGACAAGCAGACAAGTTGGCGGTGAAAAATCAAAAATGGAGGCAAATGTGGGGTTGAATTTACCAGTTTTGAACAATAGGACATGGACTGCTCGGCATGATTGTCAAAATTTGAGTGTTGAATCCAAATCAATTAAAATGGTCAAATGTTGTGGTAATGTTGATGTAAGAATGTGTGGCTAAGATGTCGCTTAGTAACTCGAAAGTCACTCCTCTTTTAGCTATGGTAGCTTATTTTATTATTTTTTCTTCTTCTTTTGTGTTATCGGACCCTGCTATCCTTTATTCAATAAAAAAAGCATGTCAGTCATTTTGTGTCCCTTTTGTGCATAGTTCTTTTCACGCTAGTTTTAGTGACATAACATGCATGCGGAATTTTTGGCCAGATCTTAGAAAACTGACTTAGTCTTGAATTGGATAAGTCAGAAAGAGACACTTTTGGAAGATGAATAAAGACATGAAACATTTGGAAAATAAGCATGAGCCAAGTTTACATGGAACCAAAACAGTCATGCTCATGGAAGTTAAGGATCTCTACCTTTTGAATCATTGGAGAAGATCGGGCTTAAGGATAATCAGATGGGCTGAAGTCTGTTTAGCACTAAGAGATAGAAAGTGTTTTCAATAGAAGGTATATTCCAGACAACTTGAAATGGATCAGTTAGTGGCAAAATTCATCTTCTACATCAAGACAAAATCTAAGAAAAGTCACCCAAATTGACAAGGGTCATTCACAACGAGAATAGTATTGCTCATACAGTTTTACACTGAAAAAGACCCAAGAAGTCAGGCATGTTCAACAATGATGCGATCACGAAAAAATACTATAATTTGCATTATCGAGGCTGGGAGGCCCTTTTTCTACTATCCAAACAATTTATACCCTTTGTTACCCCTTTTGAACCTGTGTTATTTTCTTTGACCACCCTCTTTTGGAATCAAGTTTAGAATCAAGAGTCAAAAAAAATAAAAATAAAAAGAAAAGAAAAGTACGTGCCCCAAGAGTACAAACTGGGGCAGCTTTTAGAAAGTTCAAGTGAAAAAAAAGAAGAAGAAAAGAATTGTCAAAGGTCCATGCCCTAAAAAAATAGAAGCTGGGGCAACTTGTTTTTTTTTTAAAAAAAAAGAGAAAGAAAAGAAAAGAAAAAGAGAAAAAGATATAGAAAGAAAGATGAAAAAAATAGTTAGGTCAGATGTTTGAAATAGAAGGTACATGACTCAACAGCTGACTTTGAGATTAATGCACTCTGAAACACATGTTGAGCTCATCCTTACACTAGTCTATGCCAAATGTGATCGCACGGAAAGAATAGAACTATAGGATACGTTGTACGCAATGACATCAGATATGACAGTACCTTGGCTAGTTGGAGGCGACTTTAATGTGATATGGGATGAGGAAGAGAAATATGGGGGCTTGCTAGTTTCTCTCATTGAAGTAGACGACTTCAGACACTACATCAATACCTGCAACTTGACAGACTTGGGTTTTAAAGGAAGCATATTTACATGGTGGAATGGAAGATCAAAGGAGGATTGCATTTTTAAAAGGTTGGACAAATGTTTTGGCAATAATGAATTGCAACAGACCTTTCCTGGATTGGAGATAACTCACCTATCCAAAATTAGGTCTGATCATTGCCCAATGCTGCTCNGTTATGGGGTTGAATGGAGACTCAGCTGGTGGACCGGATGGATTCACTGGAGCCTTTTACCAAATATGCTAGGAAATTATCGAAGAAGATGTTGTCCGCATGGTCAAGGCTTTCTTTAGCGGTCAGCAGCTGCCAAAGAGTGTCACGCACACGAACCTGGTTTTAGTACCAAAGAAAAAAGAAGTTATCACCTTTGCAGACATGAGACCAATCAGTCTTAGCAACTTTGTTGACAAGATTTTCTCTAGGGTTATTCATGAGAGGTTGGTTGAATTATTACCAAACATAATCTCAGAGGAACAAGCAGGTTTTGTGAAGGGCAGGAGCATAGTTGAGAACGTATTTTTAACTAAAGAAATCATTACGGATATCAGGTTGAGAACAAAAGTAGGTCCAACTATGAGGTTGTAATTATTACGGATATCAGGTTGTAATTAAGCTTGATATGACAAAAGCTTACGATAGACTATCATGGCTATTCCTGACCAAAGTACTAAGTAAAATGGGATTTCCTAAAGCTTTTATTGGCTTGATCTTTGATTTGATTGGGAACAATTGGTACTCTATACTTATAAATGGTCAGCCTAATGGTTTCTTCAAATCATTGAGGGGATTTAAACAGGGTGACCCTTTGTTACCAACTATATTCATTCTAGCAGCAGAAGCACTTTCTCGGGGATTGAATTCACTACACACTAACCTGTATTTCTGTAGATTTGGAATACCAAAGTGGAGCCCAAAAATAAATCATCTATCATACACTGATGATACAATCATTTTCTGCTCATCTGATGAAACTTCGTTGAGACTTGTCATGGAGGTTTTGAAAGCTTATGAATCATCGTCTGGTCAACTGGTGAACAAAGCCAAATCAGCCATATACCTGCATCATTTAATGGATAATGAGGTGATTCACAAGGTGGAAAGGATTACAGGTATATAAAGACAATGTTTCCCTATGACCTATCTTGGCTGTCCTATTTTTTATGCAAGAAAAAGGGGAGACTATTACCAGGGATTAAACACCAAGGTTATGGACAAACTTCAGTCATGGAAAGGCAAACTCCTATCTGTAGGAGGCAGAGCTGTTTTAATTGCAAATGTCGTGCAGAGTATCCCAATTCATATGTTGTCAGTAGTCAATCCTCCAAGTTATGTGATCAACAAATTACATAGTATTTTTGCCAAGTTTTTCTAGAACAGCAATGTGGGAGGGAGCACTAGACATTGGGCGTCTTGGACTAACCTTTGTATGCCTTTTAAGGAGGGAGGCATAGGCTTCAGGTCCCTACATGACGTATCCAAGGCACTGTTCTGCAAATTGTGGTGGAATTTCAGGACTAAGCCCACTCTATGGAGTGCATTTATTAGTCAAAAGTACTGCAAGAAACTAAATGCAGTAATTGTACCTTGGAAGCATGGATCCCATGTGTGGAGAAAAATTCTAGAATGTAGGGACTTGATTGAGCATCAAATCTACTGGAAACTGAGAATGGGATCGGCTCAATTCTGGTTCGACGATTGGACTGAGATGGGAGCCTTATATTTTCAAGTGCCTGCAGAGTTTGGTATCGATGAGGATATTCATAATGTCAATGATCTGGTTGAAAATGGTATGTTGAATGTGGATAAAATGTTTGAGAGCCTACCTGAAGATTTGGCACACCACATTGTGCAGAATATTAGACCACCAACTGAAAGTTCACAGTAAGATACTCCTTTCTGGATGCTTGAAACAAGGGGATATTTTACAGTAAAGTCTGCATGGGATTACCTGCGGAGAATAGCCAACTCAAGATTAGCTTACAAGATGATATGGGTAAAAGGTTTACCTTTCAAGATATCCTTCTTCCTGTGGAAGGTGTGGAAAGCCAAACTGTCACTTGATGATTTCTTGCGTAAACTAGGATACTCCATGCCATCTAAATGATGGTGTTGTGCTGATCAAAAAGAGGAGTCATTACTACATTTGTTCTTCAGATCCAATGCAGCTACAAGTGTTTGGAGTTACTTCCTGAGGAGAGCAGGAATTGCATTAGATGGGTTGTCATTACATCAAGCAATTACAAAGTGTTGGACAACAGCAGTTGTACCTAGATTGAAGCAAGTATTACAGGCTTTACCTGCATACATTGTATGGGAACTGTGGAAGAGAAAAAAAAGTTTGAAATATGGAGAAGCAGTTTCAGTGAGCAGAGTTATTTACCAGGTGTCATCCACTATGCAAGCTCTGGTCCAACTGAAAAAGCCAGCACTACGGATATCAGGTTGTAATTAAGCTTGATATGACAAAAGCTTACGATAGACTATCATGGCTATTCCTGACCAAAGTACTAAGGAAAATGGGATTTCCTAGAACTTTTATTGGCTTGATCTTTGATTGATTGGGAACAATTGGTACTCTATACTTATAAATGGTCAGCCTAATGGTTTCTTCAAATCATTGAGGGGAGTTAAACAGGGTGACCCTTTGTTACCAACTCTATTCATTCTAGCAGCAGAAGCACTTTCTCGGGGATTGAAATCACTACACACTAACCTGTATTTTTGTAGATTTGGAATGCCAAAATGGAGCCCAAAAATAAATCATCTATCATACACTGATGATACAATCATTTTCTGCTCATCTGATGAAACTTCGTTGAGACTTGTCATGGAGGTTTTGAAAGCTTATGAATCATCGTCTGGTCAACTGGTGAACAAAGCCAAATCAGCCATATACCTGCATCATTTAATGGATAATGAGGTGATTCACAAGGTGGAAAGGATTACAAGTATATAAAGACAATGTTTCCCTATGACCTATCTTGGTTGTCCTATTTTTTATGCAAGAAGAAGGGGAGA